AGTTGAAGTCCAATCAACTTGAAACTTCGTACACATGTTCCCTATGATCTGATCTTTCTCATTTTAATGCCAAATTAGAGCTTTGACCACTGAACATAGAAAATGATAGTGCGAATGGGGCATCCGTGTACTATGGACACATTCTTGTTTAGTGTTTGTTTTAAGTTAATATTCTTTCATATGTTAACATGGTTAATCTTATATTACTAATTTAATGTACTTTTTCTCTTATCAATACGACATAACAATAAAAGTAGTTTATATTTGCTGCCCGTTCATACTTATTTTCCAGAAGGCAGAAAAAAATCATTTTGTGAATTGAAAAATGAACATCAAAATTGATTACTTTCATTGATAAATTGTCCTTTTTTTCCAAGCGAAGCAGAAATAAAGTCATAGTCGGAAGTTAAAATACCGAATTTCTTTAAAGAATAAAATAATCGGCAAAGATGAACCTATTTTTTTGGAATACATCATTTACATTACAGAAGATCACAAGTTGATAATTATGATTGAATTTGTTTTTTTTTCTAAAAGAAAGTGACCTTCGTATAAAAAACGGTGTAAGATTTAGTATATCATCTTGTACCGATTCCAAAATGATACAGCTGTATTTTTTTCTTTGACATAAGGGAGAAGACAGCTACTTCCAAAAAGTAACTTTCGGTGTTAGTTGAAATGTTAGTTTACATTTAACTGTTTTCAAAAAAATATCGTTTCTATATATTTCTCATGGAAATAAGGGAGATAAATGATTACTTCCGATGTACAAAATGCCATATCCGATGTCATATGATAGCTTATAATACACTGATTCGAAAAAGATATGGTTTGTATATACTTTTGCTTGAAATAAGGGAGATAATGTGCTACTTCATATTTACAAAAATTAACTTCCGGTTAATATGATCGGTTACTTCTCACTGATTTTATACCATATATGGTTTTATGTACTTTTACATGATATTAGTGAAGCAAATTCTGGTTTATACCAGGTAACTTCATGTTGAACTTTTCCAAGGTCATATGCCGTCCAACCTAATACAAAAGACATTTTGGCTTTATCATGTACCAGTTAAAGTTACATGTACAACGTCCATTTGACTTTATACCATGACTTCAATTTCAAGATGATCAAAGATAAAAGATCTCAAAATCAAAAGATCCAAAGTCTCTGATGCGTATGATTGAGAAGTTATTTTAACAAACAACTTTTTTTATATTTAAGGGAAGAAATCACAAGAGTAGAAGTGGAATGATGTAATTAGATGCAAAATATATGGCATACATTAATAAAATACTATGAAATATCTATCATTTGAAATTGAAAAGTAAAGATTCAGCCTTTTTATTCATTTTTTTTAATTATGTGAGTCATTGAGTTTTCGAGTTCAAACTTACCATGTTATCATGAAATGTGTTCAGTGTTTGAATTTGAAATCTGGTTTTCAAGGGAATCATGGGTTGCAAAAAAATATGACTTTACTTGATCCCTCATTCTTCAATCCCTTAATTTTTAGAACTATTAAAATAACGTCAAGAGTAAGAGCTATTTATTTGTGTGGCAAAGTGGAAAAACTGAAAGGAATCCAAGGTTTAAAAAAAGATATGTATAACGAAGCAAAATCATAGGCCACAAGTTATAGACGAATATAGAAATAACAGAACCAAAAAACTCAAAAGAACATAGAATTTTGCAATAAAGGGTTTTGCGCGCCATCAAACGTGTTTAACCCAGCCACATTCTGTATGTGCCTGTCCCAAGTCAGGAGCCTTTAATTCAGTGGTTGTCGTTTGTTGCTGTATATCATATTTAATTTTCGTTCATTGTTTTGTATATGAAATATAGGCCGTAAGTTTTCTCGTTTGAATGGTTTTACATTTGTCATTTCGGGGCTTTCTATAGCTGACTATGTAGTATGGTCCTTTGGTCAATGGTGGAGAGTAGTCTCATTGGCAATCATACAACATCTTTTTTTATTTTCATAAAAATGTGAGAAACACATATTGTATACTGATGTGAAAATTCAAAGAAACCAATGTCCATATATACACTTGTTTCTTTTCAGGAAAATCCCTCTAGCAATCCCCTTGGAACTGTTGCCTATCAAGTATCTATTTGGCACATTTGGTTTTGGTTATGCGAGTTAAAACATTTTTTTTACGACCCTCTTGCAGCACACTTCCAGGTACTCTTGTTAAGGTTTCTTATTTTGATGATTGATATCATGTTTATTTCCTAGTCCTAGATTGTTCGGACATCTGATGGTATTTTACGAACTACCGCACAGTACAGAAGACGACATTGACCACAAAAAAATATAGCCTAACTGCTAAACAATTCAAATTTTAAGTATAATAAAAGCTATCTTGTTTGATTTTTTTTTGTAAATCAATACAACGAAGCTTATAGTTTGTAAAAATGAGCCCTCTTCGTTAATTTGCAATGAAGCATAACAGAATGAACAAGAAATACCTTGTCCTGTTGTAAGGTTTCAGAAAGTATCTTAATTGTTTGTGTCATATAAAGATTAGAAGATTGTCATTTACACTGTACTATATGTACTACACATTATTGAGATTGTTGTTACATTGAGACAGCAACCCAACGACACGCTAAGACCAAGTTGACAATATAGAAGACTTCTCGAGTTCATCAAACAAGCTTCATTGATAGACAAGTGTATAATACAGACGTTATCTACCCTTTAAAGATGATAACAATACTCACCTTTTCGATAATGTTTAATTTGGTCAATTCCAAACATATCTTTTGTCCGATTTAAACAAATTATAAAACTTTTATTATTAGTACAAAATCGTGTGTTTTTTAACAGCAAGTTTACTTCTTAAGAGAATAAATCCTATTCAAAATGTATGCAAGGCTAAAGAACAGACGTCACACGACTTAAGATTAAGGATGCAGAAACATTAACATTGTTCAAAAATCAAATCTAAAAATATTCATCTGACATATCGTGATTTTACAAACATGACTGCAAATAGCAAAATCATATTAGAATATTAAAATGAATAAAGAAATCGACACAAAATAATGAAACATACTTCAAATGCTTCTTTCCGTTTGTTTGCACCCAGTTATATCGTATTAAACAATGAATCACGCGCGAGGTGACTTTTTCCAATATAACGCTGCATGTGTACGTATTGTCCTATTATCCCTGTACAGTGTTTTATTCTCGTTCATATCGACTTATAATCATCAAGCGGAAAAATCTCTAAAACACGTAAAACTTTCAAACGTTTCGTTGTTTTTATGGCAATAAACGTAGAAAGGTACAATCTGTATTTAAATATCAATGGTTTTTGGTTTTGGTGTGTGATTTTTAAACTCAATTGCAGCAGCATTCTGAATTTAAAAATCACAGTCTTAATTCACACAGATCTATGTTGCAAAAAGGCCTAGCTTTCAACGCATGTCTTTCGTGAGTAGGGTCTTGTTTTTTAAAGAATCTTTCTTAAATGATACTTACATTGTACCGGCTCAAAAAGATTAATTTTTTACAGTCATGGACGATAAAGCTTTGCTAATTTCTTGATTGAAAAAAAGAAAGTTTTCAGTTGAAAATATAACTAACTATTATATAATTTTGTTGTCAAACAATGAACAATATAGTGAGTTATAAATGACATAGGGATTAAAAACTGTGAAATAATTTAGAAGAGACGAAAACAATCGGTCATATTTATAAACAATAGATGAAAAACAAATATGACAGACAGCAATCAACAACTACTACTGGACTACAGGCACCTGCCACATATGGAATGTAGTAAGGTTAAGATCTAAACTATTCCTAACCTGGAATATATAAGGTCGTTTTATTCATTCAACTCGTTAAAAGACATATACAGAAATGTTAACCAACTATCAACAAGCAGAAAAGAACATGGAAGAACTATAAGTACAAGTTATTACGAATTGAAAGTAAAACAAAAAGGAGTAAACAGGTTCTACATTTGTCTTTATTTATAACTGATAAAGCCACAGAAGACCAGTATCCAAATATACTGTTATACCAAAAAGGACATAAATATGAGTAAGAAGGCAAACAGACAATCAAAAGTATACAAAAAAAAAATAGAAACAAATATTTGTAAAAAAAACCCTAAATTTCGAATAATTTAGTCTGGTAACTCATTGATTTTTGCGATCCAAATAATGTGCTGCCCAATCTTTCACGACCTATATAAAACAAGGAGATTTGGCATGATTGTCAATGAGACAACTATCCAATAAAATCCAAATGAAGTAGATTTCAGCAGGTACAGGTAACCTTTCGGACTTGGACCTGTACAATGAGCAAAACCCAATATTGTATATAGCTAGCTTTAAAAGGTCTCCCATTATAGTACGGGTAAAATTAACACAATCCTTCCATTTCTTAAAAAGTTTTAACCTTTATCAGATAATATGAATGACACGTTACTATACAAACTATCTGACACACTAACGATTTAGTTTCAAATGTAGCATGACATATTGAAAGGTGACCATTATAATTGAAAAACGTGATTTCAATAATGTTCTTTTAAAGAAAATGCATCGTTTTGTTACCTTAAAGAATAATATTATTGACAAATAATACAAGTTACCATTTTAAGAACAATTTTTTTTAAATGTTCCGCATTTTGATAATACATCCCATTTTTCACAGCAATTCAAGATAAATTGTATTAGTTGCATAAACGATCCTAGACAAAATCGTTCAAGATCCAATCGTAATGCTTGACCGTCGTCATTTTTTTTTCACGGTAATTTCTCTGGATGTACCGAGTGAAAGCCATGATACACTTTTGTTTACATTAATTTAACTGGTACACACTGTCAGATACGCCTAAAGATAAATTCTATCATGTAAGTACATTAGAGATAAGGCATACTGGTTGTCTCATTGGCAATCATACCACATCTTCTTATTTTTATATTTACAATCAAATTTTAACTAGAGAATGGGATTTTAAAATTTTGTGCGTGCTTACTTTATGTATTGTAACATGTGTAAGAATAATTAAATGATATTAAAACTGGATTAATGCTTACAGGTTTCAAAACGTTAAGGGCGTTAAATGTTGTGCATGCTTACTTTATGCACTGTAACATGTAAGAATAATTAAATGATATTAAAAATGGATTCATTCTTACAGGTTTCAAAACGTTAAGGACGTACACAATTAATTTGTTTTAATTGGAAGTTTAGATAAATAAAGACTTCAAAAAGGAAAGTTATGGTGGGTAGGCAAAAGAAGTACAAATTAAAGTTGCCTGTTATCACATAATTACTGAAGGTAAAGTTCTTAATCGTATGACGAAAACGCATACAAAAATCAAAATAAACCAATAAAGACGAGGGTACTTTTTCATTTTTGAAAACAGAGCGTACTCTATATATTAACCAACTAGTGTAAGAACAGTTGATCACTAAATATTTCAAAGCCTAGAAAAACAAAATGGCAATTATTTGTTTCCAATAAAGCCTTTTACTAGTTGATCCCACATCAAATACTGGATAGATGTTTTCACTGTTTTTCAATGCAATTGTTTTATCAGGGGATAATGCATTTTGATTTAGGAAATAAATGAATGAAAAAAAGTCAACTGACATTTTTATGCGAGAGAACACCAAATTTCTCGTTTCAAATGTAGTTCAACATTAACGCTTAAAATCTTATTAACTTATACAGTACAAATTTTAATAGTAATGTCAAGAACGCCTTGAAATATGCCACAATCGTGTATATGTCTGTGAGATAAAGCATTCACAGAATCGAATTCCACACAGGAAGATGAGAATTGCAGTATTTGTTTTTGCTGTGTGTAGTTTAGGTAAGTTTAAATTTTACATTGATTATAGTGAACATTAAATTTATCAGAACGTAATATTAAAAAAAATTTCAGCATACAATCTAGCCTACATATACATATAACAGTCAACAAATTCAATAAAAAAAGGAATTATATAATAAATTAAATGTGTATTGTTGTCAGAAATGATATTCCCTTTTTTGTGCATTAAAGTAATTTCTGGATATCCAGCGCTATAAAAAAGTAACATGTAGATTCTTAGATTTTAAACATAGACAAACGTTGCCTGGAAAGCCAAAAAAAGAAATATGAATACATATTGATTGATTGATTGATTGACATATTGTTGTTTAACGCTACTTTCAACACTATTGTGCTATTTTGTGGCGGTCAGTTTTTATTGGTGGCGGAAGCCGGAGTGCCCGGACAGAAGAACCGACCTTCTATAAATACATATGATAATTTTTTAAAAATTGTACAGGTATCGAGTTGACCAGAATCTGATGCAATGAAATTGAGTGCATAAATGTTAACATATTCTAAGAACTACATGCAGAACATATAAGTTAAGTTGAAACGATGAATGAAGATGCCTTTGGGCCTGAAACCGATTTTGAAAATGAAATTTTGACAGATGTATTGGAGAAGTTATAGTCGGTTATATCGACTTGAGTGAAAATGAGTATTTCTTGCTAAAAAAACGAGAATTTGATTATTCGTATTACATTACCAACTAGATGTAACTCCTCCCTTTGATGACGACTTAATCGAACAACCCTTTTGATATATAAAATTAAAGTCGACGCCACTGACGATCTTCATCTGTTTGGAAGGTGTAAGAGTTTCATTCTTGGGAACCTTCTAGGAACTAACAAGATAAACATGATCAATAAAATCAGCTTAAATTTATTGTCCATTAATTGGTTGGAAATATATTTGTCTCATATTCATCCAAGATATATTTGTTTAATGTTCAACTATTATCAGACAAATGCCAAATGCACATTTTTGTATGAAACATCAAAGTCAGCTTCTTTTCTTTCACATGTTCGGGACGAAGATGTTTTTCAATTTACTCAATAAGTGGACGAAAAATCCATTTCAAGGAAGTCCACTTTATATATAGGTGTCATATGTTACAAATAACGATATAGATTTATATATAATAAGGTATAATTTAGTGAGATGCGCTAGCCTCACAAAGGAATTAATGTATTGACCTTTATTGATTTTATATAATGTTCTCAGGACTGGTCTCTAGTGAATCATGTCCAAACGGAACCAGTAAAGACTGCCAACATACCAAATGTCCTGAATTAAACTACAAACTATCGTGCATTGACAATTTTTGCACGTGTGCTGAGATTGGACCTACAGGTATAATTTTTGATATTCTTTTTAAAGAAATATACATAACATACTGTAAATTTTTTATAAAGGTTTTCTGATGAAAAATATACCCGCCTCCCTCTTATGTTTACCTGTACCTGCGTCGCATAACACTTTTTGTCTTCTTTGAAGATATAAACTTGTATTTGGTCTGCAATTTCATAATGTTGAGCTTTACAGCTACTTTCTGTTCACTGATAGTTTGAAATTTTACAACACCCATTGTACCAGAAAAATTTTCCACAAACTTTTTTGGCTTATATTGAAAGGAATGATTTTATATTTCTATATCAACTTGATAATAATGAGATGTAGCGTGTGAGCAACTTTGCTTCTATTGTGCAGCCACTTCATGTTTGCCGATAGCTTAAAACATTTTCTATGGCTAATTGTACAAGGAAAACTATTCTGAAAGTTTTCTTGGCTTCAATAAAAGACAAAGGTCATATATGCAACGACCCAGGTCAAGACCCAGTCAGGGTCTTTTTATTAAAAAAAAGAAAACATTTTTTTTTACCAAAAATAAACTAGAAACATATAGCGGAACGACCCCCCCTTTTTAGCCCCAATAAAAAAAACAAAAAAACTAACACACAAAAATACAACCAAAGCAACATCAGTAAAATAAACAAAAATAACGTCTAGCTAATTTGACCTTTTCTGTGAATAAAAAAAAGGAAAATAAGTTCATAGTCATATAACCTCCATTAGAAGACTACTTTGAAAAAAAAAGACTAAGATAAATTATATCCTTCAGTTTGCAGGAATAAAGATACATGTTTACAACATAGTCCATGGAACTGTCCACAGAATCGCCGCCATTGTTATGATAATGTGTGTGTCTGTGCACCTTCCATTTAATGGAGATACCAATAAAGGGCCTAGAATTGTTTGTATTTGTGCTCTTCGTATTATAATGTACAAAAAGCGTCCTAGATACTGAAGAACTAATCGTATGAAAGCTAACAAACTGACTAAACACCTGGAGTAAGTATATGATGGCACGGACAACCTATGCTTTCCGATTTGCACTTTGATGAATGGTTCCTTACATGGCCAATAATGCTGTTGAAAATCATAGTAATCTAGAAACCAAAATTGTTATAAAATCTTCTCGAGGGCCCCGGTTTATAGAAACCCTTTTTTGTGACACCCCTGAATCAACTCTGTATCAGTTTGGTTAGGGGCTCTCCTGACACCTGCTCAATTATATTTTTGGAAACAAACATTTTTAACAAATTTCAATTTATATACAGATGTTTTCATATGCTACAAAAGATTTGCTCAAAAGAACATTGATATACAGAAAGCCTATTTTGAACCTTTAAAAAAAATGGGCAAGAGGTTAGAAGAAGTTTTAAGAATTTGATGCCATATATAGCTGAGTGACTAAGACCTTGACCTTTTCTACTGAAAATTTGTTGTCAAACTCCTTGATTCTGTAAAAAAAAATTGACCTTATCGTGTTTCTAGAACGAGAAAAGTACAGAACATATCTCAATATTTTAAAAGACGATGATTATTTTTTAGTTTACACGTGTTAATATTTTGAAGATGGTCTCAATATTCTAAAATTGAGAGAGTGCTCTTATCACTTATATGTATATCCAAACGAAGTTATAAAAAAGATACTACCGGAATCAGAAGGCCTGCTTCATTTTTAGATCTATTTTTATAAAAAATAATGCAGATGGGCGACTTCTAACAGGATCTATAGGCAACGTTTTTTGCAAAGGTTTCACAATTGCCGTCATAATTTAACAGTTATTTACTATTTGTGTCGTAGCTACTGAAAAAAAACCACTACCCATGTCGGCTTTCACTTATAATTGATATCCCAAAACGTGCCAGATTTGTCTCTGCCGTCAGCAATACAACTGGTGCCATAAGTTCAGCAGTACCTGTTTTCCGTTACGAAGATCCTGAGTTCACTTCTTTTCTTTGTGAATTTATCTTGTTGCTCAATCATCCGTTTTATGTGTAATGTTTTAGTGGAAACTTGTTTGTTTATTCAAAGCATGGTGTTTTCTATCTCTTTCCTTTTGAATTATTCGTTATAATTGTCCTCTTTTAAATTTGAATCACATTCCCCTTCTTCTGTCACAAACGTGTACGATGAATCTCTATTTTCTTTCACGACAGAAATGCCTTTGAAAAGATTTCACCTGACCGGAAAATTGTGTGCCTGACCGATTTTGTTCAACAGATATTTCTAGTCTAGACAGTCTTGAATTGGTCTTACTTCGCGAGGTGGGTGATACATGCACAGCAGGATGTCCTTACTCGGTTAGCACGCCTGATCTCTATCTCTACGTTTACAGATCATGCGTTGCCTTTCTGTCAGTTATTTTCTCTTGAATCCTATTTTCGCAATTTCATTCAGAACATAACGCTTTTTCATCATTGACGTCCTGTACAAAGACTGAAAAAAATGAAAAACTACTTTTTGCACTCCCATATTTAATTGGAATGTAGGCTTTAGTCATCAATGAGACTAGTCAGTTTTTCATCGCCAAAGACTATAATATTGCAACCAACGTTACTAATTTTAAAATGAGCAATACTGTGAAAATTCTTATGCAAAATAGCAAGAGGTAAACATGCAGACAGTAAAGGAAAACAAAAACAGAACAATCATAGTCCTGAAGAAGTAACCAATTATTGAAAGTTCATAGAATGATTTCTTTTATCCATTGATATTTTTTTATATAATATATATATATATGTGCTTCAAATTGTGGCCATCTGAGGTCAAATTTGACTGAGGGAGCTTTAGATAAGATTAAAAACATGTTTGTAAGATGCAAAACCTTAAAAATGCCAGTATTCGATTTGTTTAAAGAAATAGAACGGTCCGGGGTTTTTGAAGAAAATGTGAATAAGAAAGAAGACATTTTTGTAATTTATTCTTTTTTTTTTTGGGGGGGGGGGCCTCTACTAAGTAGAATATTTGTGATCATATTGAATTTGTGGGATTTTCACTGCCTTTCCTTAGTTTTCTTACTCCTATTTTCAAACTATATATCAATCATAAAATACTATTGACTGCAAAAACAAAGGTAACATGAAATGAAATTGTAAAAAGGTTATGAGCCCCTGTACTCGGTTCTTAAGATAGTTTTAAAAAGGTTCCAATGAATTCTTATAAACCGTAACACTGGTAATACTATAAGGTTATTGTAAATGTTTTAGTACATAAAATCAGCATTAAATGGTTAATTTTGATCAAGATTGTAATATGTTTTGTGACTTATTGGGAATATATGATATTGTTCTTCACTAAATTACAGTTATAAACTGGAAAAAATCAGTTTTAAATACCAAGAACGTCTTCTTTCTTATTCACATTTTCTTCAAAAACCCCGGACCGTTTGTTAAAAAACCTTGACGTTTTAAATGCAGCTCTCGTAAAAACCCGGACAATGTAAAACTCTGAATTTTAAGTGAAATTCATGGAAATTTTGGGTAGTTTGTGCTTAAAATTTATATAGTATCAGAATTAGATGAATAGTCATGAATAAAACTATCATACTTTCGAAATAGCAGTAAATCGATCTGGTCGCATTTAATTACACTCGAAAAAAGTGGCCCGATTGGACCGATTCACCCGAAAAACACGATTTCTTAAATTATAAGGTGCAACAGGCTAAGCATCAGCAAGCCCTCCCCAAGAGAGAAAAAAAAAACAACACATACAAAAACATAATGAAAACACAAAAACATATTTCATTATAAAAACTACCTCCCAGCTGAATCATTAAAATAATTAACATAGTATTGCTCGTATATTAAAACTGACGGCACGCATTATTCAAAATGCCGACAGATACACATGGACAGATGGGAGCTTAGCGTACAGTGGCAACTATTACATAAATTTGCAGGCTGAAAATAATGTTTATGTTATATGTTTATATGGTATGAATGTATTCAGCTTTTACAAGACCAAGACATTATGTTGGATGTCAGAGTTCTACCTTTTAATATTGTCCTGGCTCCAAGCTACTACGATTTGGTCTTACTCTTAAATTCAGCGTGTATAACGTTCATTGCGACACCATTGATTCAGTATTCCTACCGTACCAATACTTAGAATTGATATCAATGATATAAGGCAATATATGATCGTCATGCAATCGATCAAAAATGAAACAACACGTTAAAAACTGCCTGCGTCCGAATCGCTTTTTCGGCTGGATTTACATTCATCAGGAACGCTCAAAGCCGAATGTTTGAAAGCCAAGGATTTATAAGAACCGAAATAGTTGAACAAAAAATCTGATATCAAATTTGGAGAATACACATGCATTGAACCATTTTATTATTTAACGTACAGTAGAAAATATTTACATACTCAACCCTATCACATTATTTGGTTTACTGCGAGTTGGTCAGTTTTCACTGTTACTCCTAAATGATGGGCGCTTTATCAAGCAAGTGACGTTTTTCCAAAAGTTTTGAACAAACATAATAGTGACAAGTTTGAGCTTTCTAAAAATTTGTGGACTGCTTCGCTCTATCCTAATTTAAGGTAATATGTGTGCATGTGGTTGTTGATTTAGTATTGGAAATGTGGTATGTTTAGATATTAAGTAAATTTAATGCTCATTTCATTTCGTTTTGTCATATTTCGTTTCGTTTCGTTTTGGCAAATTTCGTTTCGTTTCGTTCTGTTTTATTCTGTTTCGCACTTTACAGGTACCCCAAACGAGATAATCATACATATATTGTTCTCTTTTCGCCCGTTTTTTTTTATTTTTAATTTCTTGATCAAAAATAAAAAAAAAAAACTTTTTTAAAATCGAAGTAATCAAAACCTGCACTTTAAGTTTAGTATTTTTAAAGTTTGATTAAATATCTAAACTTTCAAATTTTAAAATGAAATTTAGAATTTTAAAATTTTGATTATTTGGTGAAATTTTCAAAATTAAAAAAAAATTAAAAAAAAATTGAAATTTTAATATTTTAACACTGTGACTAAAATTCCAAAAAAACTAAAATTGGAAAACTAAAAAAATTTTGAATTGATAAGTGTTACACGGACCTTACCTCTCTCTATACTTTGTATTTGTAAATAGACGTGTTAGGAAAGTCAATACGATTTTGACGCTGATGTTAAATAGAGAATATCATATGGGCTTTTCAATATCAAATCCGTATCAACCCGAGACACCAATATAATCCCAAAGAGCTCTGCTCGAGGGATTATATTGGTTGAGGGTTGATATGGTGTGTGATATTGAAAAAGCCATATTATATACATTTTATTATATACCTCTAGAAGATGTGTTTTTCACTTGACATGGCGTAATACATATTAGGGGTTTAATAAAGCCTTTGCAACCGTGACTGACATCGATGACGTTACGTCATACATAATTATTAGGGGTGTGATGAAGCCTTTGCAACCGTGACTGATATTGATATCATCACGGATGGCTGATACAGCACGATTGTCATTACTCGCATTACACATACAATTTATCTGTATCTACTACTAAGTGTATGATAAATACCAATACCACTACAGGCTATCTCAAAAAGCACAGATAATCATTCATAAGCTACCTGTATGAGATGATTTTTAAACAATAAAATAGATACAATTTATTCCGCAATACACGGACGAGGATCCAGCAAAACAACACGATCATTATTCTTAAAACTACATTGTTTCATAGTAGTGATCGATTAAGTTTAAGATCGTTGTTACCCTATTTATTACTGTTTTGTTGAACGACTACAAGGAAAGTCTTCGAAGTGATCAAAATAAATGAATAAAAAAACCACAGGAATCAAATCACATTCGAATCCAATTTTTTACTCTACATCAATCTTTGTTCAAAACGTTCGTTTATTTGAAATTTATTTAAATATTCTTGTCATGTCGGGGCATTTCTTAGCTTTTATGCGGGATGGGTTTTGCTCCATGTTGGGGGTCATACAGTGACCTATAGTTGCAAACATTTACGTCATTTAGTGTATGGTAGATAGTTATCTATTTTGCAATCATACCACATCTGTTTATTTTATATCTTTTTCTAGAATAGAGAAATGTGTTACACAGTAGCGTAAAATTCTAAAAAATAAGCCAAACTAGAAATTTGTGTACTTGACAATTAAAAAATAGACAATGAAACAAAAGCGTTTTCAATTTGATTATCTTTTATTATATTTCTATTTTATCTAGAAAGGTCACTGGCAATTTAATGTAATTTTGAAAAACGACAATACCTAATTTTCCCTGACATTTTCTTTCTATCAACTTTTATCAGTTCGTTTTTCGGAAAAGAGAGGTTATCGAATTAATTTTTAAAAGATTACAACGGTTGGACATTATCAAGCATGTTAAATTTACGTTTCGGTGAAGGGTCGGAAGTTGGTTTTTTTTTTCTTGTTATCACGGCTTCCTCCACCAACAAAACAGAACAACACGATTAAATTGAGATATTGTTGAAAGTGGCGTTAAACTTTCATAAGGAGAAGTTAATATTTTGGTCGGGAGGATATTTTGAAAATAGAGAATTCATTTTCACCTCTTGCAAAACAAAGTCTGCGAAATTATATGTGGCCATTCTTTTTCTTTTTTTAGAAATAGCACTGTATCCACTTGTGTCCACTATTTATTTATTTTTTTATATATAAATATAACGACGTGTTCGGATTAGCACTGATTTGTTTAAGCCACACATACGTGTCCGTGTATCCCCGACAAAAATGCATGCTAACTATATTTAGCAACGAAAATAGGACATATCTATTGTGGAGACAAACTGAGTTATTTCACTATTAAAAGTATTCTAATCGTATCACTTAATATATATATTTGGACTTGTGGCCGTAAAATACGTCATTCCCATTCTTGACTCTTACATATATTTTTGTTAAGTTTTGTTGTGCACTCCTAAATCAAACAAATACAAATGAATGTATGAAGATCTACGCAAGGCCAATGCACGTCTTAAAATTTGGAGTCGACGTTAACCGTTCGTTTCATGTTGTATCAAACACACCACAAAGCTAAACTATACTACTCCGGGATACTTTTCAATGCAATTACATTTTGAGAAAGTCCACACTTAAATCTTGTATCGGTATTTGTATTAACATCAGCGCAGTATTTAAATCCATTTCCTAACACGTCTAATAGACATCAAGAAACTGCATTTGTTCAAAAACAATTGATAGCCACGTTGCATTTATTATGTTACTCAGTATTTAGACTGGATAAAAACATTCATGAACAGTAGAATAATTTAATATCTAAGTACGCGTTATCATCATTGTACTTCTTTTTATAGAATTAAAAGATTTCCAATCTTTCCAAAACATAGATCGTTCATATGTTCCGACGCCAGCAAGGTATGGTCCGTTCAGATTTGAACTGGTACAATTTTTATACCACCATGCACCCTGAGTATATGCTGCACAATTTAGTGCTGAAGACGGATCGTTATCCCTGTCCTTTGTGCTAAATGTCATTCCGGTCTGAGTAATCAAACTATCACCTGAAATAAATGTTGCAAGTCAGAGGACAAATGAAAAAAAATTTCGTTAAACTTCACGACTTTATTAGGATTTATCCTGACATTGTGAGTGCTTCCTCTATGCTGTCTTAGCGGTCTTCCTCAAAAGTTAAACTGAATGAAATATGTCATATAAGTTCTCAATTCATTTCGAAAGGTGACTGGTCGTTTTCAGGACAGTAGCTTCTATGGTGAACTTACCGGTAACTTTGATTCCTACATGAGCAGTGTGTCATTTATTACAAAAAGTTGACATCAAAAAGTCTGCGTCGTCGACAAATATCAATACCAACGTTTGTGGTTTTCACTGATGACGATCCAACAGAAGCTTTTGTTTAACATACATTCCGTTGGTTGATAAAGTATAATGTTTGATTTTGACAGTTTTTATATACTTCCTCTTTTTCAATTTACCGTGGAGTTCGGTATTTTTGTCACACTTTTTTTTCACATGTGAACACTCAGCAGAACAATTAACATCGAGATAGATCATTTAGTGTAAATATATGCAACGACCACTTTTAAGAAAGTTGATATCATATTTTTTAGATATAGGAAGATGTGGTATGAGTGCCAATGGGACAACTCTCCATCCAAGTTACAATTTATTAAAGTAAACCATTATAGGTCAAGGTAAGGCTTTCAACACGGAGCATTGGCTCACACCGAACAGCAAGTTATAAAGGGTCCCAAAAATTACTAGTGTAAAACCATTCAAACGGAAATTACATGCATTTACTAGTTCAGAATTCTGAACCATCAGAAACGCGTGAGACCGTATGTTGTGAATCTTAATGCATAAAAAACGGGCAATTCGAATTAAGGAAATCAGCAATATCTAGGCATTGTTAGTACTTATTTATTTTGTATACACGGAAAAAATACTTAATCTTATATTTGCTGGATATCAGTGTGATATATGTAACTTTAAAAATGTTTGAAATAAATCTCACTAAAGAAGCTCAAGACTTTCAGTAGTTTTAAGGTACAGTGGGATACCTTCTGATCAACAACAATAGAATACAAAGGGTAAGGAGATGTGGTATGGAATTTTATGCGACTGTCATACAAGTGAGAGGTTTAGCTAGCTTTAAAACATGGTTTAATCCACCATTTGTCTACATAAGAAAATACCTGTACCAAATCAGGAATATGACAGTTGTTATAAATTCGTATGATGTGCTTGAGCTTTTGATTTTGCCATTTGATTAGGGACTTTCCGTTTTGAATTTTTCTCGGAGTTCGGTATTTTTGTTATTTTACTTTTTACAAGGAGAATTATTTTTGAAGACTTAAGTATAATACAAACCTGCATCTCCAGAATATCCAGATATCGTCAGTTTATATTTTTCTTTCTCGTCACCAATAAGAAACAGAGAATAATTTGCATATTTAAAGGTGCCATCGAAATCCTCTAAATAAATTGATAGTTTATGACCGGTAGATGTAGATATTCGATGAATGTAATCATTTCCTTCAAGAATAAATGGAAACACCATAGAACGTGAAAATAAAAAAATAATCAAATGATAGAAACAATTAAATTTTATGTAATGTGTCTATCAGTGGCTTTCGGTGTACATAAATGTGTGAACTTTCCTGCATTATGAAAGGAGTATGATTATGGTTGTCAGTACGCATATATTCTTATCAAATAAAGAATATTGGCCTTTATTGTTATTTTACTTGTGCATTTAGATTATCTAGATTCCTGTATTTTTTTCAGTCCGATTCTCTCAATCCTTTATCAATATGAAATTTACTTTTTTTCTAATTATAGTTTTATCCATTTTATTTCACGATTTTAGTTCAGTGAACAATAACATGTTTCTGTACGAAAATAAAAATCAAAGCGAAAATCAGGTTTAATTCATTGTTCCTATTATTTCGGTTCCGTCTATCTTTTCGGATATTTTCCCACCAATTGCCAATATTATCACTTATAATTACAGAACTAATATCTATCGTAAATTCTAGAAAAAAAACCTATTCTGAAGATTTTTGTTTTAGAAATATGACGCGTGTGAATAGTATTTCTCTGTTACCTTTCTTAAACTACAGCAATTACTTAATTTGTGTTTTGCTCACGTTGCTCATACAGATGTTACCATTCAAAAGTAGCAAACTATGAGCAGGGTTGAGGAATTTTTAATCAAGTCAAGGACCTGTTTGGGTTTTTTTTGTTGTAACAAAACTCAGAAGTATTCAAATAAATAAATGAACTGAAAATGTACAATGACGGTAGATGCTAATATTGCAAATTTCCAACATGGAATAAAGGCTTCCATAGATACAGTTTATATAGAAATACAAGAAATGCGGTAGGATAGTTTTAAACAACCATTTACAGACACCATAAGGGTGTTTATAAAAGCAATTATACTTCACCGTACAGCCTTCAACAATGAGAAAACTCCATACCGAATAAGTAAGCGATAAAAGGCATCGGTATTAAAATATGTGAACAAATCATACGAGAAAAAAATAATAGGCTGATTTATGCCTGCCCAATATCTTCAATTACATCTAGAAATTTACAATGAGGTCCGGTTGAGATTGAAATAAACAATTAATTTCCCCATAGGCGACAATGATAGCCTTTTTTGAGATACAGACTTTAGAAAGTTGATTTTTTAAACGAAACCTTGCTAGAATTACAGAAAAGTTATTCGGACAGTATTTTTTGGTCCAAAAAATATAGGTTCGCGTTGCTTTTCTTAACGTATTTTGTACTTATCTCCCATGCCTATCAATTTTGCACTTAAAAATACGTGTCTCGTCCTAGCGTTAAAAAGACATCTCATTTCCGTTAGGGCTAAGGAAAATAATTTGTTTGGCCTTTGATAAAATGCAGAATGCACGAAGTCTCTAATAATAAAAAATAACGGGCGCACATATCAACCAATCAGGATTAGCCATACTCTTAATTCTGAATACCATGTTATGCTCATAAAATGGCTGCGCCCATACAATCTAATGGTGTATTGTAACCTATACGGTATTTAATACTTTCTAGAATCATGCAATTCATAGTGCGTTAGATGCACAAATATATATGCCACACATAAATCAGCTTCAAATCGTTCTGGCATTACTCTCTGAATTTTCACAATTTTTTTTCAGAGGTGACCCCAGTCGAAAAATGTGAGAAAAAAAATTCTGATTTTTTTAGTAAATGCGGTACTGCTAAAAAGTTCCTGAAGATAATGTCCACTTTCTCCAATGATTCTTTATATGTCATCAAGTACTGATTATATTGATACCAAAACCGATCCAATATGTAACTACTACGGTAAATTTGGAACAACAGTTTTAAATGAAACCATTTTCGTATAAAAGTACATTTTTGAAACAGACTATAGCATTTCAAATTATGAAAAATGTGTAAATATTGGTGTTTAAACATCGAAAACTATTCGTTAACTACAAAATGTCATGTCTATTCTAATTTTTATAGTTTGTCATTCGAGTGAACATTTCAATGTTCGAAGGGGACCATTTCTGTACATTTTCACTAAATTTTGTAATTTCGATAACAGCACTTGGGTCGATATTATCATGTTTAAAAATCGATTTTTATATCTAAACTCTAGACGTGTACGTGCTTTTTTCAAACAAATCAGCAGAAGTTCAGAAAATGATATATTCTCTACACAGTAAGTCAAAAGTCGAGCCCACCCTTGTTTCCAAGGTAAAACGCAATACAAATATGAAACAGACTATAGCTTAAAAACTAGTTAATCAATAATTCATTTATCACCAAAAAATACGGTTTCACATCAAATTTCAAGTAAAACAACTGTTTTTGACACTTTTTGAGCACTATGATTACGCAATGTCGACTCTGTATAGATTGATATAAACAATTAATTTCCCCATAGGCGACAATGATAGCCTTTTTTGAGATACAGACTTTAGAAAGTTGATTTTTTAAACGAAACCTTGCTAGAATTACAGAAAAGTTATTCGGACAGTATTTTTTGGTCCAAAAAATATAGGTTCGCGTTGCTTTTCTTAACGTATTTTGTACTTATCTCCCATGCCTATCAATTTTGCACTTAAAAATACGTGTCTCGTCCTAGCGTTAAAAAGACATCTCATTTCCGTTAGGGCTAAGGAAAATAATTTGTTTGGCCTTTGATAAAATGCAGAATGCACGAAGTCTCTAATAATAAAAAAATAACGGGCGCACATATCAACCAATCAGGATTAGCCATACTCTTAATTCTGAATACCATGTTATGCTCATAAAATGGCTGCGCCCATACAATCTAATGGTGTATTGTAACCTATACGGTATTTAATACTTTCTAGAATCATGCAATTCATAGTGCGTTAGATGCACAAATATATATGCCACACATAAATCAGCTTCAAATCGTTCTGGCATTACTCTCTGAATTTTCACAATTTTTTTTCAGAGGTGACCCCAGTCGAAAAATGTGAGAAAAAAAATTCTGATTTTTTTAGTAAATGCGGTACTGCTAAAAAGTTCCTGAAGATAATGTCCACTTTCTCCAATGATTCTTTATATGTCATCAAGTACTGATTATATTGATACCAAAACCGATCCAATATGTAACTACTACGGTAAATTTGGAACAACAGTTTTAAATGAAACCATTTTCGTATAAAAGTACATTTTTGAAACAGACTATAGCATTTCAAATTATGAAAAATGTGTAAATATTGGTGTTTAAACATCGAAAACTATTCGTTAACTACAAAATGTCATGTCTATTCTAATTTTTATAGTTTGTCATTCGAGTGAACATTTCAATGTTCGAAGGGGACCATTTCTGTACATTTTCACTAAATTTTGTAATTTCGATAACAGCACTTGGGTCGATATTATCATGTTTAAAAATCGATTTTTATATCTAAACTCTAGACGTGTACGTGCTTTTTTCAAACAAATCAGCAGAAGTTCAGAAAATGATATATTCTCTACACAGTAAGTCAAAAGTCGAGCCCACCCTTGTTTCCAAGGTAAAACGCAATACAAATATGAAACAGACTATAGCTTAAAAACTAGTTAATCAATAATTCATTTATCACCAAAAAATACGGTTTCACATCAAATTTCAAGTAAAACAACTGTTTTTGACACTTTTTGAGCACTATGATTACGCAATGTCGACTCTGTATAGATTGATATAAACAATTAATTTCCCCATAGGCGACAATGATAGCCTTTTTTGAGATACAGACTTTAGAAAGTTGATTTTTTAAACGAAACCTTGCTAGAATTACAGAAAAGTTATTCGGACAGTATTTTTTGGTCCAAAAAATATAGGTTCGCGTTGCTTTTCTTAACGTATTTTGTACTTATCTCCCATGCCTATCAATTTTGCACTTAAAAATACGTGTCTCGTCCTAGCGTTAAAAAGACATCTCATTTCCGTTAGGGCTAAGGAAAATAATTTGTTTGGCCTTTGATAAAATGCAGAATGCACGAAGTCTCTAATAATAAAAAAATAACGGGCGCACATATCAACCAATCAGGATTAGCCATACTCTTAATTCTGAATACCATGTTATGCTCATAAAATGGCTGCGCCCATACAATCTAATGGTGTATTGTAACCTATACGGTATTTAATACTTTCTAGAATCATGCAATTCATAGTGCGTTAGATGCACAAATATATATGCCACACATAAATCAGCTTCAAATCGTTCTGGCATTACTCTCTGAATTTTCACAATTTTTTTTCAGAGGTGACCCCAGTCGAAAAATGTGAGAAAAAAAATTCTGATTTTTTTAGTAAATGCGGTACTGCTAAAAAGTTCCTGAAGATAATGTCCACTTTCTCCAATGATTCTTTATATGTCATCAAGTACTGATTATATTGATACCAAAACCGATCCAATATGTAACTACTACGGTAAATTTGGAACAACAGTTTTAAATGAAACCATTTTCGTATAAAAGTACATTTTTGAAACAGACTATAGCATTTCAAATTATGAAAAATGTGTAAATATTGGTGTTTAAACATCGAAAACTATTCGTTAACTACAAAATGTCATGTCTATTCTAATTTTTATAGTTTGTCATTCGAGTGAACATTTCAATGTTCGAAGGGGACCATTTCTGTACATTTTCACTAAATTTTGTAATTTCGATAACAGCACTTGGGTCGATATTATCATGTTTAAAAATCGATTTTTATATCTAAACTCTAGACGTGTACGTGCTTTTTTCAAACAAATCAGCAGAAGTTCAGAAAATGATATATTCTCTACACAGTAAGTCAAAAGTCGAGCCCACCCTTGTTTCCAAGGTAAAACGCAATACAAATATGAAACAGACTATAGCTTAAAAACTAGTTAATCAATAATTCATTTATCACCAAAAAATACGGTTTCACATCAAATTTCAAGTAAAACAACTGTTTTTGACACTTTTTGAGCACTATGATTACGCAATGTCGACTCTGTATAGATTGATATAAACAATTAATTTCCCCA